CGCCCGTCCTCTCACAGCTGGTGTCAGCTCCCTTTCTGGCTTCCTCCTCCTCCCCAGGCTTTAAGGCTGCCAAAGCCACATGATCCTTTTAGGTGCTTTTCCAGACAGCTGTGTCACCTCTTTGGGGGCTTGGTAATATAACTTTGAACAGTGTCCCAAACAATCCTATTTTTGTTTCATAAAATTGTTTCCTATTTCATTTGAGAAATAATTATTTTTTTTTAGTTTAGTTAAATAAAAAAAACAATACATATTTCTTGCTCAATATTTTTCAATTTATAATTTTCAGTTGAGAGAAACTTTGCCTCATTTTCCACATAAATTGGTTTCCTCAGGTCCATCAGACTCACCGGACAGACGCATTGCCCCAATGGGTGCTGACTCCTTAGGTCTAGGGTGGGGACCAAGAATGTGTATTCCCAGTAGGTTCCCAGGAGACCCCAGGTTGTTGGTTTGGAAATTACACATTTAGAACTATGAGAGCATTGTTTCTAGAAGAAGGATTCTTAGTGAGTTTTACACATAGTTTCTTCCAAATAAATAACATGTGATCTTTGTGCCAGCCTTATGTTCACATTAGGTACTAGGGTACACATAGAGTGAATGAGTGAATGAATGCTTGGATATAAAAACCCTTACAAAGTTTCTGTTAGCTACTTCTATTCACTCTTCTTTGTTTTCACTAAACCTTGATCAAACTCAACTGCAGTTTTGTTTGATTGGGCACCCTCAGTTGGTGTTAAGCAATAGGAGATTCTACTTCTCTTCCAAAGCTTAAAATAATATTAATGTTTTTTATTATGCCAATAATCTCCCATAGTCTCAAAATTAAATAACAGAACATTTCATCCCGGGTGCTTAGTAAAGGGGGCTAGAAAGAGAGCCATCATTGTCAGGGTGGCTTAGAGACATAATGAAACTGCCAACCAGTAGTTCTCAATCAGGTTTTCAAATAATGGTATTAATTGTACATCTAAACAGGTACTCAAGAGGTTAAAGAGTTCATGCCAAGTACATATAGATGTTTAAACTATGGTCTGGTTAGATTCTATATTACATATTACAAAATAACAGGGTGTGAACTTGCAGCTTTATACATGTATTGAAGTTTTCCTGGGGCTGACAGAATTTTTTCTTGATGAAAGCATAGAAATATGCATGGTTAAAAGTCCCTTAAACATGTAAGGGCTTCTCTGCAAACAGAAGGGTTTCCACAGAAACTTGGAAGCCACCCAGAAAACATCCTTAAGTGCAAAACTCTTAGGCACTTGTTTCTCCCAGTATTATGCCAGAAAAGAATTCCTCCATCAGCCAAGCGTGGCTGACTATTGTGCCATTAGAGGAAGAGGCTTTTGTCATGACACGAGTGCCTGTCCCAGTCACGGCTGGGCAAAGCCATTTGCCTGTACCACCTTCCTGCCTTTCCAGCAGAGGCTGCTCACCATGTTCTCTGTTCCCTACCTCCAGTTACATAGCACATGGTTGTGATTCCTCATGAAGTGTACTCCATAATACAGCAGCCAAAGAGCCCAAAAGGCAATGGGCATTTTGCCTCTGTCTTCAAAGCAGTAAATACGATGAGTTGGGTCCATATAGGCATGGGTGGCATCAGGAATCTATTAGACATTTTGTTTTCTGGAATTTCTCCACACATTTGGTTGTTGTCATATCCAGGATGCTGATGTTTAAATATGGACTTTTTAAGAATGTGTATTATTTTACAAAATTCCAATATGTCACCATACTTTAAGGGCATGGGCTCTGGAACCAGACTGCCAGGGCACAACAGAGAAACTTCTTAGTTGTATTGTAGGGCGGCGGGAACAGCACCAGTTGTTAGACTGGTGGGGTCAGACAGGACCTGGGTTCAGCAACCTTAGTACTTGAGTTTGGGCTGAAAAAGAATTCAGAGCCAAGATGCAAACTATAAGAGAACATTTACTTGGAAAATTGCAGAAGTAGAAGTAATTTGTATCAGTATGCTGATGAATCAAGTTATAGAGGCAAAGGAAGGGCCCTTGGAGCTTGGGAGTGAGGAAGGTAATAGTAACATGTCTGGGGGTGTGATGGGGGAGGGAGAAGGGACCATGCTGGGTCCTCAGTCCCAAGGGTTTTAAGGGTAGAGATATTATTGATTTCAGAGAAGAAGGAAGAGGGAGAGAGAGATAGAAACATCCATGATGAGAGAGAATCATGGATCGGCTGCCTCCTGCAAGTCCCCCACTGGGGATCGAGCCCACAACCCCAGCATGTGCTCCTGACCAGAATCGAACCTGGGACCTTTCAGTTCGCATGCTGACGCTCTATTCACTGAGCCAAACCGGCTAGGGCCATAGGTTGTTTTAAGGATCAGATGAGTCAATACTCTTAGCACTTGCTGGGCACTCAGTAAATGCTCAACAGATAGCTGCCATAATCACTGTTGTTTGTGTTGATGGCAGTCTTTCCAACAAACCCTTTCTAGGGCAGCCGTCTGTGAGTAAGTCCTCATACCTGGTATTTTTATCCTCACTTTATTCCCAGCTCTACGTCAACAGTTACTAGAGAGAACAACACATAGTACAATTTGGAAGCCTTTATAGCTTAAAAACCAGTCTTGCAATCCTTTTGCTATCCTAATTTATTTTCATCAGGCCTAGAATAATTGCCCTAGTACTTCAAGGTTATGAAACATGCTAGTTTGAGCAGAGCAGTGTAGCTGAAAATGTTCTGGCTTGTACCAGCTTTTATTAGCCCATTTGCCTCTCAGGTAAAATGAGGAGAAAAATAAATCATCAGTCTTCAGCTACTCATTATATATACTCTCTATCCCTCTGAGGAGGGCAGATAGATAAAATCATACTTTCCTTTGTATGAACTATGTGCAGTGTGCACCCTAATGCAATTTTGTCTTTCTTACTTTGCTGTCAACACTTTTCTTTTTTCAGTTGTAAAGTTGTCATTTGTTTGTTTCAGTCCTTTTGGCAAAATCAATCCATGTAGCTCACTAATTTAGGTGATTTCCACAGTGAAATATGTTTGTAAACTCCACCCACTTATGGACTTAATAGCTCCAACCTTTTCCCAGAGGCTCCTAAAAAACTGCAAGTCTAGTCATCACCCTTTGAAGATTAAGACTTGAAGACAAAAGGGACATTTTTGTCAGCTTTTTTTTTAAATCAAAGAGTTTTGGGAAGTTTTTCTACTGTGCACATATAAAAGGTAGCTTCAGTTTTTCTTATTTATTGAACTACCTGAAAACATTCGTTTTTCTTTTAATTCTGTGTAGAGGTTGCACACTTGCAAAACATTTAAACCCAATTAAAGTGAGGATATCATAACAATATACCAAGACAGTTCTTGCCCCAGTAACTATTCTTTATCCCTCTGATTTCCTCTTTTTTGAAACTTCATCTTTAGCAATCACATAACATACAAAATTACCAAACCATTTAGCGTTGACCAGATTTTATTTAAAAAAGCCATGAGTGTATATGTTTTTCTTTTGTTGTTGCCACAATTGCTATTCTCTGAGATGCAGGAATGATTGAAGATGGGAAACAGAAGAAGGATGTGTGCTAGCTAGGTCTGTCTGCTAAGGACAGAGCAAGGTCATATTTATATTGGCTGTTTGTTGAGTTCAAATGAACCACTTCAAAGGGACAGGAGGGCCATGTATAACTGAATACGTCTGCTCTGAATAAAAGGGTTTTAACTCCTGAAAGTTCTAGTCATTTAATCATAAACAACCAGTCATTTAGTTATAGAATGTTTCACATACTAAAAGGACTAAAATGGTGTAATAGGTTAACTCATTTGATTGAAAGCCACTTTTTGCCTACAACTGTTCTCTGTATAAAGAAACCTGGCACATAGGAAAGACCTGAAACCTGATTTATTCATCAGATTGCATCTGCGTAAGTAATAATCTCCCATCTAGATACGACATGAAATGTGCAGCTTTGGCTATCAGGAAAGACTCAACATTTCAATCATTAACACAGCTGGGCCAAAGGAAAGGCCTTCTTTCATCCATAGAGGTTATTTTACTGTGAAAAGAAAATTGTATTTTGAACTTTAGTTTTGCAAATAAGACATAACAACGGAATTTTCTTCCAGTAGCTGCTCCTTATTTCTCAGATATTTCCTGAGATGCCGATACTAGAATTTGAACTTGATTGAGAATAAAAATATTTTGATCTATAGTTGAAATATTTTAATATTATTGTTCTTAGCTACTTGAGGTCTAGTTGGTGGCTTACAAGTACGTGTTTGGAGCTGCTGTTTTTATGTCCACCATACAAAGTAGTCTTTGGGCTATTTCCCATATGTTCACAGTCCTAGCCAGGTTGGTGGTAGGTGTGATGAGAGGTCTAAAAAGAAGCAGGTGGGATTGTCTCAGCTGTTTGTGGGTCCTTCTGAATTCGTTTTTTGCTGTGTATTCAGGGAAGAAAATGCCTCCTGTTTGTGGATTTCAAAGGTGCAATGGAAGTTCGTGGATTGGGTGTGTACAGTGCTAGGCCCACCTGAACTCTGTTCTCACTGCTGACTAAAGTCAGGAGGCCTGTACTTGGACATCCACACACACACTGTCCAGCACCTAAACATAATGAGTTATTGGTTTTCCTCTTATTCTTGGACTCAGTTACCCTTCCCTCCCTGAACTCTGTCTGCCCCTGGGCCTCTTCCACGTTTAGTCCAGCCACACAAGACTACTTAGTAGTCAACATACATTCTGCATTTTCCCACCCTTCTGCCTTTCCTCTGTTGTTTTCTCCACCTGGAAGGCGCTAATTTGAACCTAAATCTTCCCTATCTTTCAAGATTCTACTCAAATCCCAACCCAGCCTCTGAATCTCTACATCAGAATTCATCTTCCTCCCTATGTTCTCCCACCAACTGTACTTTGTGTACTCTTAACGTCCACAATCCACTTTTGTCCAGACATTTGATTTGTACAGTCTTTGTCCCTCCTTATTATCTGGGGGTGATATGTTAGCTGATGCTTTCTTTGTTTGCAGGTATGCTTCAGAAGTGCCCTTCTATTGATGACTTTGTAAGTGCCCTCGTCTCCGACTTGGATCTTGACTTGGAAACTTTCCTCATGGATTCTGAATAACAGAAACACCTTGAATCTTTTAAGTCAAAGTCATGTAGTTATTAACTTTGTTGTAAATGCTACAGCTGTTAACACTCGTTTCTGATTTCAGTATTCATTTCTGTAATAATTTCTGAAAAACCGTAAACGGATGGAACTTGGAATAAATAAGTGTTTTAATTAAGCTAGCTTTTAGTCTGTTTGGCAGATTTTTTAACATATGGAAATCCACTCAGTGAGCTAGTAAACACTAGAACATAGAGAGTTGTTAAATTTAATGTCTGGGTATTTCCTTAGTCCAGCCACTTTCCTGTTGAACTTTTTAAATCAGTTTTGTTTATCTGTAATTGATTAGAGACTTCATTAAAAGCAAAAGTATTTTAGTTTGTGGCAGTCTTCAGAAAGATTACACATATAGTTCTTTTAAGTGATTGCCATTTCTTAAGACCACTAGACTAGACTTTGAAAATGCACTTGGGGAAGTCCCTTGCAACAACCAAGAAACCAGGTATGGTTTCCAAAGTACTTGTTACTGACTGCATTGGTTTTTCTTCTGAGTGTTTAGGCATATATAGATGGACTCAGAACAGGTAAGACTTGAACTCATATTTCTCTGGCTGGATTATGAACTTACAAAAATAAGTGCAGGTCCAATTTATGACTGATGATAAATAGAGATCCAGCAACTGATAAATAAGGAAACTGGGTTTTAAATCATGTCTGTCGTTATCTTGAACCCGCCTGCCTTACATTATTTCACACCATATCACTGTGTGTTAATAATAGGAAAGAAACTATTTAATGGGGTTTTCCCACCATCAAAGTCAAGAATTTAATTATAGACTTTAAAATGGCATCTGCTAGAAACCTTTTTCTGCTTTGCATTGAATGACCAATGATGCTGCAAAAAGGCAAGATTAAAAATCCCCAAAACTAGCACACATGTTCAACTGATTCACAGAATATGGAAGAATTTGTACAAGCTCAGAAATAGGTGAGACCAGACAAAGAAATCCCAGTGACCCACCCATCCTGGGTGTACACATGGATATATGGGGTACTGACCCTTCATTTCCCTCCACCCCCGCTCACACCAAGAAATCCAAAGTGTGCCCCAACCAGAAGCAGAGCAGCTGGCATGCCACCCACGCAGTGTTCCCAGGATAGCCCCTTGCTGCCCTTTGTTCCTCTTCCAGCTCCTCCCCTCTGGAATTTCTCAGTCTCTGAACACTTGGAAAATGCACCACACAGAATCTTCGGGCAGGAAGTAGGGCAGGCCTGGCAATGGTGCCTCTTCTGTACCCAAAGCAAAGTCGGGAAGGGAGGGCAAGGCTTGGGTAATGCTGGCAAAAGGCACCTGGGGACCAGTGCCCAGGAGGAGTCCAGCTGTTTCTGTACTCCACCCTGTTTGTTCACAGTGTCTGAGCTAAGGTAAGGAAAATCTTACCTAACAAACTTGCACTACACAAATGCTAACTCTCTTCTGAGGAGTGGTCTTGGAGAAATTGATATAAACCTGCCAGTCAGTGATAGGTAAATCTGAAAAGCTGCTTTTCAGATTCACCAACAGTGACAGTCCCTTTTCAGTTGAGGGAGAACAAGGAGAAAAATCTATAGGGAGCCCATGTGTAAACATTGTTCAGAAAAAGGAAAGATCACCTGGAGGAGCAGAACTTGGAAAGTTATTTTGTAAAGGAAGTAAAACACATTGTAGGAAACCTCTCTATTATTCTTAGTGAGATTTGAGAAAACATAGTATTTATGAAGCTGAAAGCCAGCAAGAGCAAGCAAAAATAAAAAGATAAGGATAAGCTAAAAAGATTGGTAGGAAAGAAGGAAGAAATGAAAAAGAAAGAAATGTAAAAAACTGAAATACATGCAGTAATTTAAAATATTATCAAAGCAGAAAAAAACAAGTTGTTGAGGGCGAACTTGAGAAACATCTCCTACTGCAGGTTGAGGGGCTATGAGAGCTGGTAGCAGGGAAGTGGAGGAGAGTGCTGCCTCTGCCAGACAGTTCCTGAGGAGGAAAGCAGGACTCCCAGAACAAAGGCAATAACAGAAAACAAGTTCTTATGTTCTGTATTCCCAGGGCTCAATGGAGAATAGATGTTATTTGTATGTGCTCTGGCAAATACATACTATTCAGTGAATTTAAGAAAATGTTTTTGAGATGAGAAGAAAAATTGAGTAATTTCAAAGGAAATCCTTGATGGTTACCCAATAATGTGACTGTACTTGATGCCATTGAACTATACACTTAAAAAAATGGTTAAAGCATTAGTTTTTTTTAATGTCTATTTTACCACTATTAAAAAGAAAAAAAGACTCCTGTATTGCACACCAAACTAAATAATGAAAAGAGACCCATGCCTGACACTATCTGCCCTTTCCAGAGTTTAAATATAAATGATGTTTCCATCTCTCCCTCTCCCTTCCTCTCTAAAATCAATAAAAATATCTTTAAAAAATAAATAAATGTAATTAAAATTATAAGCCAGCATACTCCAAATTGGGCTTTGCAGGATGTTACTGTTTTCCATGAACTCAAAAGAGTCCTGTTGTTACATACATTTGGGAAATGCCAAATAAGTGTTGGAGGTTCACTGTGCACATTAGCAATCCTACAATCACAAAACATACATAGCATTGTATATACTAGTATGACTTAATGTTTCCCAAACCTATTTGATTATAGGACCCACCCCCTTTTTGGAGTATCTATTAATGACATTTTTCAGAACACTGGGAAGCAACTGCTGCAAGCATTCAGCTAGAAATAACAGGCTTCCATATTAAGGATCACAAATTGTGGTGACCCCAGAATGATCATAAGGGTACAAATAAATGGAATTGTGTATCGCCATTAAATGCCAAAGGACAATGAAAAAAGGATTTGAGAGATAAAGACTGAGATGCAAAATGGCATTCTCAGATAATACACGGGCTCCAGAAACATCTCAGGTTTGTACCCTCTTTTTTTTTTTCCTTTTTGTTGAATTAATTGGGGTGACACTGGTTAACAACATTATACGGGTTTTAACTGCATAATTCTACAGCACATCATCTGTCCACTGTATTGTGTGTTCACTACCCCAAGTCAAGTATCCTTCCATCACCATTAATCTCCCCTACATGACGCGATAACTGCACACACGCACGCACACACGCACACACACACACACACACACACACACTCCAGCAATCACCGCACTGTTGTTTGTCCATGAGTTTTTTTCTACTTTTTTCTTATTTGCTCAATCCTTCCATTCCTCTACACAACACCCTTTCCCCTCATCCCCCAAACAGCTGTTAGCCTGCTCTCTATCTATGAGTCTCTATTTTGCCTGGTAGTTCATTTTGTTCATTCAATTCCACATATAAGTGAATCATATGGTACTTGTTTTCTGTGACTGGCTTATTTCATTTAGTGCTGAGAGCCAGTCCATCCTTGCTGCTTGACACAGTCGCTGCAGGGAAGAAACATCTGCACAGCATATGTTTCAAGGGACCTGGTGTATATGGCATACTGTTCTTAATACGTTTGCTCACCTTGGTGCTATGTGTTTTAACCAAGGTCACCTCTCCGAGAAAGGTTGTTTCCCCAGGTAGGGATTTTCCCCTGAAGTGAGGGAGGGAATAAAACCCCTTAACTAAGTGCCAGGTGGGTAGTTAATCACCTTAACTACGAACAATCACCCTTAAGCTACATAATCTTTACTCCCTGGAATGGAGATAAGAAACGCCCTAACCTTTGGAATAGAGATTGATAGGATTGGAATCAACTGGTATAAATACAGATGTAATAAGACAACAGGAGATAGAACCTAGACACAGAACTTAGAGACAGAACCTAGAGACGGAACATGGCAAAAGATCCTGGACAGAAACTGGCAACAGAACCTAGAGAAGAACCTAGCGAGAGAACCTGGCTGAAGAACCTAGAGACAGAACCTGGATAGAACATGACAAGAGAACCTGACTAGAACCTGGTGATAGAACCTGGCTGGAGAACCTGGAGAACCTGGCTGGAGATCCTAGTAAGAGAACATGGACACAGAACCTGACTGGAGATCCTGACCAGAACTTCGCTGGAGATCCTAGACAGAACTTGGCTGGAGATTGTGGCTAGAGATCCTGGCAAGGCTGCTGATCAACTGAATGCTGTCTCTGTGTCATTCCTTCTTCGCCGACTCCGTCCACACCTTTGGGGACCCCTGGACCCCCTGGGGTTGGACCCCAGGATCTGGCGCCCGAACAGGGACCCTTAGGGAAGCCCCCCATTCCCCTAGATAAGCGCCCCGCACTCGGGACGGATAGGACTCCACCGTAGGAAGAGGGTGGATAGTCTTCGCCAACTCTGTCCACACCTTTGGGAACCCCTGAAACAGGATTCCCCTAGGTAAGCCCCCCCGAACATTGAGAACCCCCACATTCGGGACGGATAGGACTCCACCAGGGTGCTGCAAACCCCCCTATAGAGGATAAGTAGGGTAAGAAGGTGGATAGTACAGAACTTAGATTGAGAAGATGTGCCATACTGAGTCCAAAGAAAGAAGACTCTGTATTGATTCTTAGATTGAGAAGATGTGCATACTGAGT